ATATTATATATAGTGTGTGTGTGTGTGTGTGTGTGTGTGTTGTGTGTGTGTGGTGCTAGTGTAGTGTGTAGTGGGGAGAGTATTGTTTGTTAATATTTTGTATGTGTACATATATATCCTCAGCATACTTATTATCTATATATAATTACATATGATAATATATTGTTAGCTCTAAATACCCACATCTTAGCCTATATTATAAGTAATATATACGCTATATTATATCCCCTTTATTATTTATCATCACCTAATCCGATACCTCACTTTAGGTACCCTAATTGAAGTATAATGTTCCAACATCACATCACACATTCATCTTATCATTCACCTCACACACTACACGATCACACACTACTCATTATTACCTCGCCTATACCCTACTTATACATATATTATATATATCCCTTTATCATAATTATTGTTCTTTTTTATTCTCTACTTACTCCATATATAATATATTTATATATAGTTATTGATTATTGTAGGTATTGCCCTATTATTTGTTATTAGATTTTTTGTGCTGCGTCCGTTGCTCGTTTATCGTATGTGTGTTTGTGTGCGAGATCGTGTGATGTAGTAAGATCGGTGCTGCTCGCTCAGATGCTGTGTGCTGTGAGTGATGGACTGTGAAGACATCGTGGACTGTGTCGCTAGCTCAGTGATGTAGCTGTGTGTGTTGCTGCTGTGCGTGTGCTGTGATAAAATACTATTAACATTTTGTAACCTAAAGCATATGGTATAATACTATAAACAACAGATGTACTACCCTACCGACAAAACTACAACCATTCAAACACAATGCATAACCAATTATGCACCTGTAATAAATAATAACCACCACCCTATACTATGTATTTATTTTTAATTTTCAATAAAGATATAATAAAAAATAACCCATCACCAAAACCAAAAGAATTATTAGTTATATTGTATTATATAATACACTAAATATACATTTATAGATAATAATATAAAACTTACGTATATATATACTACTCATAACTACGCGCAATAACATTAAAATAAAGTAAATAAATAACCTATAGTATATACCGAACGCGCTCATTAAATATTAATAAAGCCCCATACGATATATATATATGCGTATATAAGAATAATTTTATATTTTTATATTATAAACAAATAAATAGTATTACTATAAAAGAAAAACATTAAAATTTAATTATAGTATTTTATATATGGAATTTATAGTAAAAGATATAATATATTACTACCACTACTTTTTAATATCTACGTTTTTATTATTAATAAGGAAAATTATTACTACCGTATACGAGAACATATAATACTATAGATATATAATATATTAATTCTTTATTATGTTATTTATCTTATTACTACCGAGATATTGCATGATATATATAGTACTAATATATATATATATATAATAATTGCTCTCAACTTATATTATATGTTTATTTATATATTTATACAGGAACACACTATTCATATCATACACCTACATACCCTTTTTGGTATTATTATGTTTTTATTATTTATTACAATGTTCTATCATATATCACTAAAGGTATAATCTAAGTAAGTTCACTATACGCATAATATAAGTATACATATATATTATGAGTAGTTATTAAATGATTAAAAATAATTTGTAATAAAATATTATAGATAAGGGTGTTTTATTTTTTAATAAAAACATAAAATACTTTGTTACATGAACTACCGTTTATTAATATTATTGATTGTAATCCGCTGAGTGATATTTAATATATTTTATTATTTATATATATTAATATATAAATAGTATATTATTCTCTACGGGAACGGGAGAGCACCAACACACACACACACCACCACACACTCGCGCCTTACACATCACACACCGACCGCCCACACAGCACACACACAGACATACATCATACCAAAAATATATTTATATAAATATATCATTAATTATAACCCATACTATTAGGCATAACTTGAGCCCTTTTAGGGGGTCACAACACCCACTTCCATTATCATTTATTTAGGGTGGGGTATTTTATTGGGCCACCCCCTCATTTATATCTTTATTTATTTTTAATATATTATTTTTATTTATTTTATATTTATTATTTTATTTATTTATTATTTTTATTTTATATTTATTTTATTTTGTTCTATTTGTATTACATATATTTGCATTTTATTTATATTTACTTTTGGAGTTCGCTTTTTTGAGAGTTCCTTATAAGTACTGTGGCATATTCTATAATAAACAATTATTATAGTTTATTAATCGGATTTTTTATTTTTGATTTTCTTTTATTTTATCGTATTTGTAAAATTGCTGATTGTTGATATTACTAAATGACATTAAGTAATTTATATTATTTAGAACAATTAAATAGGGGATATAAATAGATTACATGCTCGTGTTGAGCCTTAAACCCCGTCGGTAACTAAGAGAGGGATAGGGATATGAGAGAGTCGATAACCTCTATGCTCGCGCCGTCCTATTGCCTCTTTGTGAGGGATTTATTTATCAATTCTTTTTTAACTGTAATCCTTTTCTTTATTATGATATATATATAGGATATCTAATAGTATTGTTATTATTATTATCCTCATTATTACT